CTCAAAGATGTATCACATAAAAAACAATTAGAATACTGTCTGTGGTATGCTACAACTTTGGTGATGGAAAAAAGGGTTAGAATATATAATACACATTCTTGTATAAAATATTCCTGGAAAGATATAAAAAAGTGAGTAACATCAGTTGCCTCTGGGAAGATGAACTGGGTATCTGGGAGAGGGGTGGAGGAAGACTTTTCGCTATAAACCCCTTTTATGCTTTTTGAAAATGTAAACGGTTTACCTATTCAGAAAATTAAATCACGCCAATAGTGGTAATTGCAGGAGTCCCAGTGAGAGTGCTGACACAGGGAAGAGGGCAGCGGGAAGGGAGACAGGAGCAGATGGACTTGATGATTGATGGGATCCGGAGGGAAGGGAAAATAGTCTAGCAAGAGTCCCTGGTTTCGGGCTTGTACAACCGGGTGGATTGTGATGCCATTCCCCAGGAATGGGAATTTGGAAGAAGACAAGAAAAAATGAATTCCTTTTTTTTTTTTGCTTTCTGGATTTGAGGACAATCTGGCGGAGGATATCCAGCAGGTGTTTTTTTTTTTCAGCTGAGGTTGAACCCAGACCCGTGTTTCGGCTGTAAATGTTTAGGTTGTAATTGAAGTCAGGGAGTCAATGGAATTGTCAGGAAGAGTTATCAAGTGAGAAGAGTTTGCAGCTGAGCACAGGTATTAAGAAGCGAGCAAACAGCCCTCAACAGCCTGAGAGAGCATGGCCAGAGAGCTGGGAGAACCCGCAGAGTGAAATCACAGAAATGATGGAAGGGGAGAAGGATCGGGGATGAAAAAGAATGGGTGAATATTTCTTCCATAGGAAGCCTTCTCTGACCACCCTTTCTAAAATAGCACATTCCAGTCCTGTCACTGTGGCTTCTTAAATATTCTTAGTACTTACCACCACCTGTTTATTGCTTCCCGCATTTAATATAACCTCCACGAGGACAGGGAACTCTTTTGTTGTTGTTGTTTTGTTTTTCTTAACTGGTTGTATCCCTACTGCTAGCAATGTCTGCCCCCGAGATAGACCTTATTCAATACCGTGGAATGGGTGAATGAGTTCCGTGATATGTCCCTCTCCCGTGTTCATCTCCAAGTCTTAAGCATTTCTAAAACCCTTCATCTCCACTGCCATCTCCCCGATTCCAGTCACCATAATCTTTTGCCTAGACCAGGGATTAGCAAATGATGGCCAAACGTGGACTGTCGTCTATTTGTGTAAATACAGTTTTATTGGAACACAGAAACATCCATTTGTTTACATGTTGCCCAGGACTGCTTTTATGATACAAGAGCAAAACTGAGTAGTTGTGACTAGAGAGGCTTGCAGAGCCAAAACTGTTTCATCGGGCCCTTTACAGAAAAGGTCTGCCAACCTGTACCTAGACATTGCAGGAGCCCTTGCGGTAAGGTGAGCTGGACTGTCGGACTGTGACCTCATTCTGGGTTGCCCTTCTGCTGGGAGAAGGAGCTACACCCAAGCTCAGGTCCCATGGAACCAGGGTCCTCTTTACCCCAGCGATGGAGATTGTAACGTTCCGGAAATAGGCAGCTGGCAGTCCCAGACAGTTTCTATAAACCATTCACCCGAAATCCAAACTGCCTGTTGCTCAGTGGCTTGTACATTCCTTCATGGACAAGACTGCTTCTTCACACTTGCCCCTTAAAAAGGAGGACTAGAAGGCAGGTATGTGCTCCTTAGTGAGACCAAACAGTACTCTGGCCCTTGGCTGGCCTCCATGGGATGACAGGAGGATGGAGGGTCTGTGCCTTTTTTCTTGCTTTCCTGGCCCTATGTCCCTGAACATTTTTATTTTCCCCAATAAAGCCCATGACTTAACCCCTGCTATGCAGCTTTGTGGAATTCACCCTGGAGGCTGGTGCATGACACCCACACAAGATCCATCTTGCATGCCAACGGAGACCCCAAAGGACCCACCTAACGTGGCAGCCTCCTAACTGACCTCCCTGCGTCCACGTAGACTCTTCCAATGTATTCACCTTGCAGCTAGAGTAGGCCTTTCTGAACAAGCCTGCCATGTCTCCCATTTCTCCCCCGTCCCCCTCAATCCAGTTTGCAACACTTCCTGTTGGTCTTAAAATAGACCAAAATCTTTAACATGGCTTAATAAGACCCAAGTTGATCTGGACCCTGCATTTCTCTCTAACCTTATCTCCACTATTCTTCCCTCTCTGAACTCCAAGCCAATATCTTCTGTCACTTGTAAACATGTTCCTTCCTGCTCCTGCCCCCTTTGGTTAAGGGTCGATACCTGAGCCTACTGGCCCCCAGTGCTCCTGAGGGGCTCCCAGGGCTCTGGAGAAAACCCTGGGGCAGAGCAACAACACAGTGTGGGGCCCGCTTCAAGCTCAACTGGTCAGGCTGCCTAGAAGTGGCCACTACAGCTGAGCAGAAATCACAAGTGGCCCAATCTGTCAAGAGGGCAAAGAGCATCTTTCAAATGAAACTCCAGAGGCAACTGGTCATCTGATGACATAACATACAATTCCCAGTGCAATGTCCTAGAAACAGTTTTATTAGTGAAATACTTCATTGCGTTAAGGGTAGAAATAAACAGGTCAAGAATCACATGAAATGAACCAATTATTTAAGCTACAGGAAGAGCATTCTGGTCAGTATTCTGTTTGATAGCCACAAGCAATTAATTCCAGAAATAATGCCCAGAGGGCCAAGTGTGAAGGTTACCTTTTGCACAACTTGTATCTCAAGCAATTTAAATAGAAAAAAACCAGCCTCCCTTCAGTAAAAACCCCAATAGGGGTTAGTCGTATAGTACTTGCTCCACTTGACCATTAGTATCTTTCTAGAACATGAGGAAATAAAGTCCAGTAGGAAAAGCCTTGAGCTAAAAGTGGCAAAGCCCATTTCCTGTCCTGTGTTCAACTCTCAATTTTCCCTGAGAGAAGCGAGGTCACCTCTATTTGGTTTCTCCCTAAATTGAGTGTCATAGTACAGGACACACATATTCTGTGATAATGACAATCACAAAGACTTTGGAGGCCTTTCCAGGATAATGGCTCCAAGAGAATCAGCATGAGGAATAGTTTGTTCTTTTCACCCTAAAGCCAAATAGGCACATTCGTTCTTCTTAACCGATCTATAATCTTGACTGCAGTGTACGGGCTTGCCACAGATTTTTCAGAGAGAGAATATCAAACGGGATGTTAAGCCAAATAACTATTAAGAATCACATGGCAGTAATATGTTTTTGGTCTCCCTGCCTGTGTGAGAGTCAGTCTGAAGTGTACATCAGCTGTTAAATCATTTGTAGTATTTAAAAATTTCCTCCTCACAGATGACTATACCCTGATAATAGGATGAACCAGTGAATATGTACTGGTTTATCAGTTTTATTCATGTGGATAAGTGGATAAACAAAAGAATAAGGTGTGCCAATTATATAGTTAAATATTGATAAATTCAAAAAATCTAGATATTTGGCATTCTTGAAGACAAAATATTTTCAATTTAGTTTTTCCCATTTTGGTGATTTGGGATATCTACAAGTTCTATCTTCATTCACAGAGAAGTTGAGAGTTGAATGAATTGCCCCCTCAAGAAGGGAACATGTCACATATTGCTTTAGTGTAGAGAGAAAGAAATTGGGGCAAATAATGGGATTTATTACCTACACACAGGGATCAAAAGCTGTATTTGAGAAATCCGTGGCTTTTTCTCGTCATTTGCTTACACTGAACTCCAGTTTTAAACACAAAATCCTGTAAGATGATTCAGTTGTTAAGAAATTCTATGTACACTTTGCTGGGTAACTATATAGGTTTCTCGATCAAAAATGAATAGTGAATTTTGAGAACAAAGAAAATGCCCTTAAATATGCTTGAATTTGTGACATGTGATGGTTCCTAATCCTCTGATTTAGGTAGGACTGAAAGCCAAGAGGTCTTCCGAGGAGAGGCGGCCCTGCTCCTGGGTCCCCGGGGACCTTCCTTTAAAGCATTTTCTGTGCAATATTTTAAGACACCGTCATTCTGTCAGCAAGGTGATTGTCGTGGGAAGTGTAGGGCACATTTTTCTCTCTTCAGTGAGTGACAGTGAACCACAGAACACTGGAAGGGACCAAATCTGAGGAAAGAAAGCCAACTTACAAAAACAATTTCAAAGTTCCCAAGAAGACTGCCTGAAGAAATGTCTTGTTAGTGCAGTCAGACTTCCCGAAATGTACGTGTATCTTACGCTGTGGAGGGATGGATTTCCCATATTCACAAATAATTTTACAAAGAACCGCTCAATAATATTGTAACTGACAGAGTATCATATTTGGCAAGGGTGACTGGGGGAAAAAAATCAGTTACTGATGACACCTCCCAGAAGCACCTTTCCACATCAAGATCATTTTGACTGAAAAAAAAAAAAAAAACCCAGCTACCCACAAATGTCATAACTAGCATTTACTTCTACTCCATATGAAATATCTGTATTTGCCCTCACCAACATTATTTGTGCATCCTCTCAATTCACAAAAGTACAAGTAAAATATCCTCAGGTGCTTAATCACAATCAACTCACGGGTATTGCCCCACTGCGTACCTCACCCCACCCCACCCCTTCCCCGCTGGGTTCCCAGCCGGTTTGAAAGTAGTCAAAAGGCTGAATTATTTTCCTGGAGGAATTATGAACTGAAGATTAGCATGAAATACAATATATCACTTTTTTAAAAGAGGAAATTAGATGCATTTTAATGATGTATTGAATGAGGCTACCGTTTTACCTTGGGTTCCGAACTCTTATTTACTTCTGTTTTGGGGGTTAAAATGAATGGAGGAATACAACATAAAATAGTATTTATATATTTTGAGCTCCAAGTTTGGTGACTGAAGCGTACTGAATAAGGTTAGACCAAGGAACGTTAACAAGCGATGCAGACACATTTTAACCACAACAGTGGTCACAAAATTCTGGAGCTACCAGCGCCCAAGAAAAAAAAAAAAAAAAAAAAAAAAAAAAAATTACTATACAAGAGTTTATTAAATACTTGCAAAAAAAAAAAAAAAAAAAAAAAAAAAATAAAGCCTACTGGCCAACCAGGTCAGTCTGTTGTTTAACCTCCGGCCGGAGCGCTCTCCTCACTAGCCAGCGCCGGGTCTCCTCCCTCCTCTCTGCAGCAGGCGACATGCCTGTGAGGACGCGGCTAGGTTCCTCACGGCGGGTCCAGCTCAGGACAGCTCACACGGCTCCTCCACCGAGCTCGGGCCTCAGTTAGGTGCGTATGAGGGGTGCTCTTTCATCTGCAGTTCCCTGAGACTCAGAAGAGAGGGGACAGAGGAGTCAGTCACTTCAGAAAGTTCTCTCAGGATGGGAAACGCTGTGGGGCAGAGTGGTGGAGGAAGACGGAAGGAGGGGAGACTGACAGGAGGGCAGCTCTCACCCTCGCCTCTCTGCCGGCTTGGCCTGCCGCTGCTTTGCCCTTCAGGCCCCACCTTCTCGTGAGGCCGGCTCTCAGCCCTCCCAGCCGCACCCCCGATTCCAGAGCCGCGCCCTTCCCTGCGTCCACCCGGACCATAACGCTCGTCACACTCCACGGCATTTGCTCCTGCCTGGTTTGAAACCTACCAGAGAGCAATGTCTCAGAGGCGGTGGGTGCTCAGCCGTTGCTTGCTTGTTGACTACACAAAGCTCGTTAATCGTAGGCGTAGTAATAACAGTTACCTGGGCTCTCACCTGTGCTTACGAAAATCTCAGTGACTGCGCAATGTCAGACTGGAAGTGAGAGCCGTACATAGAAATGGCAAAATAGGGGCGCCTGGGTGGCTCAGTTGGTTAAGCGACTGCCTTCGGCTCAGGTCATGATCCTGGAGTCCCGGGATCGAGTCCCACATCGGGCTCCCTGCTCAGCAGGAAATCTGCTTCTCCCTCTGACCCTCTCCCCTCTCACATGTTCTCTCTCTCTCTCATTCTCGCTCTCTCAAATAAATAAATGAATAAAATCTTTAAAAAAAAAAGAAAAATGGCAAAATAATTACCTCACGCCTAATTCACGCTAACCTGCTGGGCACAGGTTAAGAGAAATCATGGAAGAATGCAGAACACAGGGAAATCTGAGCTAATACTATTGAGATGGTTTCAACCTATTTCCTACTTCACATTTGCCTCAGACACTTAGTTGAAGCAGCTAGAAGGGGGGAAAAAGCCTTTGTTGCAAAAAGGGACGTTGCTGAGAATTTAAGAAGGGCTCCCACAGGAAAGGCTCGTTGACAGCTGAGCTGGGTTGGCCAGCTGGTCACTTAGAGAGGCCATCCTAACCCATCCATCTGAGGGGGTGCCCTTCTCTCCACGAAAGTTACTGCTCTCCTGTGCCAGTCATTTCGTGTGCAATGATGACTCAGTGACAGCTCCCTTCTGATATATTACAATTCCTTCCAAGCAGGTCTCTGGTTGTCTTGCTCTATAATCTTCGAACTGTTTCATCACATAACTAATGCTTACTGAGCTCCTACGAAATGCTAACACCGGGCCAAGTGTGTTCTGTTTACTATATCTTCTAATCCTCACAAAAAAACTCCTAAAGTGGGACAATGAGAGATGAGGAACTGAGGCACATTTTCTAGTAAAAAAAAGCCATTAAGTGGCAGAACTGGGATTTGAATGCAGGCAGCCTGACACCAAAGCCCAGATGTTTAGCTGTTAAATATTCTTCCTCTCCTTTCCATTATTTTCAGAAACATTAAGCTTAGTCCCAGGGATTCCATGCCCACCAAGCCAGCCCCAAATCCTGGACAATACCATTGTATTACTCCTCCCTCTTTGACGCACTCCCCTTGCTTCTCATTTGGTTTAATAGTAATATAACCATGAAATCACTGTGCCCAGCATAAAACCTCAGAATCCACCCTGAGGATTCCATCAACTGGGTGATGGAGCCAGTCGACAGCCCTTCAATGAAGCAGAGTTGACTCCCACAGGTAAAGTTACCCGGTAAGAGAGAAGTTCCTCCAGCCACCACTCACCTCATCCATGGATCCCTGTCCTCTGCATGCAAGCCAGGTGAAGATCAAACCAAAGAACACACCCAGGGCCATGACAATGTAGGGTATGTTAGTGATGATCGAAGTAGTGTTAATCACAGACTTCAGTCGACTTGCAGTCTCTTTATCAATGAGAACACTCTGGAAGGCAAGAAAATAGTATTCCCCTGATTACTAAATATTCAGGGTATAGAGATTTTTGCTATATCTTTCCTCAAAATCATTAAACACAATTTGGGTGAGTCTTCCTGTTAGCAAACCAAAGATACCAAAAATTCATTTATAAATTAGAGTAAGCAGAGGGGGCATTTATTCATTAACATCTTATTTTTTTTCCTAAAAAATGTCTTCCTTTCAAATTACGTTGGAAGTAGGAAGGAAAAAGTATTAAAAAATAATGAGATAATACCATCTTTTGTATCAGACAATTCCAACTCATCCTTTAATATCCAACTCAGCATAACTTTCATCCAGAAGTTTTCTCTGGCCAACTCAGGCCTGTTAAAGGTGCCTTTACTAGGCTTCCGCATCACTCCCTAAAACCCCTCAACACTGTGTTGTAACTGTCTGTTGATCTGTAGGTCTCCTTGTGACTGTAAGGTTTCCAAAGGCAAGACTTATATATCTCCGTCCCCTCAACATTAGGAATAGCACTCTGCACATAGTAGGTGCTAAATTAATGCCAGTGATTGAAAGAATGAAATATTCCAACAATGGTATGTGGAAAGTATAATTACTGTCTTGGTTAAATCTCTAGTAATCAAGACCAGAGGTCTCGGGGCCCCGGCTGGCTCCATCAGTAGTGTGCACGACTCTTGGTCTCTGGGTTGTGAGTTTGAGCCCCACATCAGGTGTAGAGATTACTTAAAAATAAAATCTTAAAAAAAAAATGTTTCTTAAAAAAAAGTTTCTTAAAAAGACCAGAGGTCTCAATAGAGTGTCCGAAGAAGTCTTGAGGCTCACTAGAATTCCAGAGGGTATTGATAACCAAGAAACTGTTCTAGAATAACACTTTCGGGATGCAGAACAAAGATCTTATCTCTTTACATTGTAATGGGTGAGGTGTCTGGAGAGCTTAATTTCATAAAAATTATGAGCAACAAATGGAACTTTGGGCTTAATTTACGCTGAATCTGCACTAGACTGAGGCAGAGGATGGGTTTCTAGGGCTGGTGCTTCCAATAACTGGCCAAGATCCATCAGTGTTTGAGTCTCCTTCTCTGGAAAAAGGAGGTGGGAGAGCAGTCTCTAAGGTCACTTCAAGGTCTAATGTTTCCTTTTTCTAGAGTAAAGCCAAGTTCTTTCTAGAAGGCACCAAAAGCACAAGGTTTTACTCCATAATTCCCTGGACTCAATACAGTCTTCAACAAAAAAGCAAAGCAAAGCAAAGGTTGAGTTGGAGGGGACTTCAAATATGAACACAACTATGAACAGGGTCCTTCCTCATTTTCAAAAAGCCCTGCTTTCGTGTCCTTCTCCACAAACAATAACAGTGATGACTCAGGAGCAATTGCAAATAGATCCTATAAGTTGGTAAATATTGCCTACATTTTTCCTCTGAAACAATAAAAGCCTCGTCTTAGAACTGTAATCGCAAACCCTTCCAAAGTTTATAAATGTGGCTACGAAGTAATGCCGAATCAAAAAAAGGTTATAAAACCGTATCTATGGAATGGTCTCAACTACCTAATATCAAAACCAGAAAAATACTAAGAGGCAACATAAGCAGATGTCAGCTGTACTTGTTTCTGAGGGACAGGTTGTCAGTGATTTGCTTTTTTAAAGATTTTTTAAAAATTTCAATTGAGGTATAATTGACATAAACAGATTAGTTTTGAGTGTACAATATAATGATTTAATATTTGTATGGTGATTCACTTTTAAAATATATATTTTTAGTTTTCAAGAGCTCTATAAAGAGCATGTGTTAGTTCTACAAAGTGTAAATTACTTTTTACAAAGTTATTATTGGAAACAATTTAACAACACGCTGCTGAGTAAAATAAGCAAGTTAAGAACAATGTCAGTCTAGCCCAGGTTTTGAGAAAGTTATTGTAATTTCCTTTCTCTTGCCAATCCCTGTTACTGAATTTTCTATACAGAACAAGTTTTTTTTGTTGTTGTTGTTGTTTGTTTTTAGGGAACAGAGAAAAATAATAAAAACTTTAAAAATGCTGCTAACAATAGAAGCAAGCCGATCCGGAATTTATTGGAGAGGGAAAACAAACCCCTGCATGTTTCCCCTCAAAACTGGGTGGAAGAAAGAGGGAAACTGAGGAGATTTATACAGTAAATGCATGTGATTCAGAAAAGAATTTATCACAGGTGTCTTAAATAGCGGGTGTTTTCTGAGCTTTCCGAAAATGTTTTTATTTGCAAAACTTTGATTTATACCTAATATTTAGGGATAAAATTTCTGTGGGTACAGTGTGAAAGAAAGAAGTATTTTGTTAGGGAAATTCTTTTTGTTTAAACTATGACAGGATCTGTGTCCTATAATTCGTGATATATGTTGGTTTATCAGAAAGTAAAAAAAAAAAAAAAACCCTCTATGCTATGATAAAAGATAAGGCAACCATATATCACTAAAATTAATGAGAATGTATCACATTTTATTCAGTCATTTCTTTAACCACCTTACACAAAACTTTCATGTAATGTTGCCAATCATATTAATTTGACCCTCTTCTCCTCCTGCTCAACGATGTGAATGGTAAACTGATTACATTTTGCAAACTGGCAGAGTTTCAAAGATGGAGGAGGTTTAACTGGTCATCTGAGTGTTGGCTATTCTGCTTCAACAGTGTCTGACATTGCTTCATTTACCTCTGCATTTTGTTTCTTACATAACCAGCTGTCCAGAAGGAGAGTTTCACCCAAAATATGTTCTTGAGAAAGGAAATTTTTTGTCATTTTCAAATCTCAAACACAGGCAGCCTCATGTAAATATATAAACAGACATTTTCTGAGGACAAACAGGTTGTTAAAAATCACCTTTCCCCCTTTCTCACGTCTTAAATTACATAGCTACAATAGTAGACATCAAAATGGAAGTTTCCCAAGCTTTCACAAGTAAAATATACCCATGGCTCCCTCCCAGAACTTACCTCATTAATATACATCACTGGGAAAACCAGGGTTCTAATGTTCCCCGTTTCACTATAAAGACAAAAGGTGACAAATGAAAACCACAACGAGATATCACTTCATACCTGTTAGAATGGCTAGTATCAAAAGGCAAAATGCAGTGACTGTTGGTGAGGATGTGGATGAAAGGGAATCCTTGTGCCCTGTCGGAGGGAAGGTAAATTGGTACAGCCACTGTGGAAAACAGCATGGAGGTTCTTCAAAAAATTAAAAAGAGAACTACCATATGATGCAGCATTTCCACTTCTGGATATTTAGCCAAAGAAAACAAAAACACTAACTCGAAAAGATATATGCACCCCTATGTTCATTGCAGTATTTTTTCCAGTAACCAAGATACAGAAACAACCAAAGTGTCCATCAATGGATGAATAAATAAAGAAAACATGGGATATATTCACACTGGAATACTATTTAGCCATAAAAAAGAATGCAATCTTGCCATTTGTGACAATATGAATGGCCCCTGAGGATGCTACACTAAGTGAATCAGAGAAACACAAATACTGTATATTTTCCCTTATATGTGGAATCTAAAACAAACAAAACAAAAAAACCAAGCCCACAGACACAGAGAACAGATTGGTGGTTGCCAGAGTTGGGGTTTTGGGGGGTGGGCAAAATGGGTGGAGGGAGTCAAAGGGTACAAATTTCCAGTTATAAAACAAGTAAGTCATAGGGATGTAACGTACAGCATGGCAACTATAGTAAATAATACTGTAGCGCACAGTTGAAAGTTGCTAAGAGAGTACCTCTGAAAAGTTCTCATCACAAGAAAAAAAAATCTGAACCTAGTGTGGTGATGGGTAACTAGATTTATTGGGCTGATCCTTTGGCAATACATATAAATATTGAATCATTATATTGTATACCTGAAACTAACATAATGTTGTATGTCAATCATACCTGGATAAAAAAAGACAATATCTGAGATTATTTTATAGGCATCCTCATTATGATAGCACACTGGCCTGGAGAGATAAGTTGCATGAGCCGGGGGAGGGGCAGAGGGGAAGGGAGAGGGACAAGCAGACTCCCCACTGAGCGCAGAGCCCGATGCAGGACTGGATCTCACAACCCTGAGGTCAAGACCTGAAGCGAAATCAAGAGCCAGATGGATGCTTAACCGTCTGAGCCACCCAGGTGCCCCCCTGGAGAGAGAAGTTTATATGAAAATTCCAGCACACTTACTTCATTAAATTACCCAGAACTTATAAAGACTTCTTAGTTATCTTTGCAAACACTTATCCATCAGAAGTTAGATTCCAATCTGTCAGGCCAACAAGTCCAAGTTTTATGAAAACCCAAGATGCTGAGAGCAAATTCATCAAAATGATTACTATTCTCTTAAGAGTTATCAGAAGGATGGCCACAGCCAGCTGAACAACACTGCGACTCCTCAGAATGTTTTTTTTTTTGGCTTCACGTGGAGCCCAACGCGGAGCTTGAACTCATGACCCTGAGGTCAAGACCTGAGCGGAAATCAAGACTCAGATGCTTAATCGACTGAGCCACCAGGCGCCCCTCCTCAGAATGTTTTATGACCAGGCCACTAAGTATTGTCTTCACTAGAGCCCAGAGCACATTACCAAGAACCAGCTCTGTGCCTGGTGTTTGGGGGACACTATCTCATTTAATTCTCACACTAATCACATGCAGTACATATCATTGTCCCAGGTTTAAGACATGGAAATTATGGCTCAGAGTCATTTGCCCAGGACCAACATGAGTAAAAGGTAGAGCCAGGATTATAATTTCATTTTGATTCTAAGGCTCTAGGTCTTAACTACTAATTTATACTGCCTCAGGAATGTGCACAGCGGTGGCAAAATGCGTTCTTGCAAACCACATTTACTTTCTAGAAAGATCCATGACATGTGGGATTAAATCTGCAAATTTGATGGGGGAGCCAAGTGTTATAGATAGATGGATAGACAGATACATAGATACATAGATACATAGATAGACAGAAAGAATAGATATATGATATTATGTGTAGTTTTGCACCTTGTTTTTTCATTAACATTAAGTCATAAGCATTTTCTCATACCCCAAAAATTCCCATTGAAAAGTCTGAGCAGGACTTTTAGTAATCCTAATTAAGTAATCCTTAATTAGTAATCCTAATTAAGCGGTGGTTTTTAGATGGAGTGTGGGGAGGAAGGGCTGGACTCAGGAGCCTATTTTAACTGCCCGACTGGGAGCCTGTGGCTGGCCCTGGGTGGGCGCAGCGGGAAGACAGGAAGGGAGGTGACCGGAGTCGTGGCAAGGGCAACGCTGCACAGTGTGGGGAGATGCAGACTCTGTAGCCTTACCTCACCTCTCTGTGCCTTGGTTTCCTCATCTGTAAAATGGGGCTAACACAGCATAACTGTGAGGAATAAATGAGTTCCTGTGCGTAAAATACTTAGAACAATGTGTGGTCCATGGAAAGCACGCTATACATGTTTGGTGACATAGAATAAGTAAATTCCAAGACCAAGGCAGCCTATGCGAATGCCAGTTACGCCTCATCCCTGTAGGGCAGGAGTGAGCAGACTTAGTGGGCTGTGTCCTGACGTCGACCCCACCAGGAAGTCAATGCAGCAAAATGACCCGCTGCCTCTGATGAAAGAAGTAAAACTTACGCAAAGTCGTCTAACTTCTTGACGTAAACGTTGATCTGGAACCTCTTTGCAGCTCTGAGAATAATTCCAGTCAACTGCCAATCAGAGAAGCAAAAAAGGAAACATTAGGGCTTATTAAAACCACAAACAGAGTTTTTCTCAATAGGGCAGCGTTTCTGTGTGGTGCTCACAGCCAGGGTGGCCGCTGCCATGTCTGAGAGGAAGGGGGGACAAGGAAACCCTGACCCCCGACAGAATGAGAACCGCGGATGTGGTCGGGTGCCTGTTGGCCCAGTGTTTCTCAAACTTTAATATGCGTGTGAGCTCTTAGGGACTTTGTGAATATGCAGATTCTGATTCAGCAAGTCTGGAGTGAAGCCTGACATTAGGTATTTCTACCAAGCACCCAGGACGCGCAACTTCGGAGAGCGAAGCCCTAGGCGACCCTGGCAGGAGGGAGCTTTGAGCCAGAGAGTCGTCCCCAGGATGGTCAGGACCTCCCCCGGCCCAAAGCCGGGAAAGCAGCTGCGGCTGCTGGCTCGCCAGGGCTGCTTCGCCTCTGCACTGAGGTTAAGGGACTGCACCCAGCCCTCGGGGACAAGCACCTGCCCACAGTTCCGCTGAGGAAGAGGAACTGACTGAAGGTTAAGAGAGAAAAGGGGGGGGGGGAAGAAACACCTGATCTTTTTCACAAAAAGATAAGACCATTGATTTCTCAGATACAAGAGTGAAGTGCCCATAAATTGCTGTGCTTAAAAGACTGTTACCGCTTTTTCTTTACTGCTCCATGTGTTCAAAATCCCCAGAATGAAGATATCTGACCTTTACCTCGGTTTCCCACAGTGAGAGGCTCTCTCACATTATGAAATGCTATTCCCTTCCTTTTCACGTGATTTTAGTTTATCTCCTCTTTGAAAAGAGGATTAAAGTACATGTATATCTAATGCCTTTTAAATTAATATCATACAATAAACTCTCAAAAGAACGAGGCTTGCCAAAAGTAACTGAAGCTAATACACATATTTAAATTTCAACCAAAACTTTCCCGGCAGTAAGCAAAAAAAGAACGTATGTCTTCAACCTTGCTGATCTGTCTGCCCATGGGAGAACGCATAAAAAAACAAGTCCAAGGCTGGCAACTGAACACTGACCAGGTTACACCGGTCCAATCTCAGTTGTTCCAGTGATGCAATGTTTACAGGTGCTTTTTTGTTAAAGCAGGTTTGCTGCTATATCTGCCTATTAGAGCCACAGAGTTCAGCCTGTAAGGCCATGCGACTAGGTATCACATGCACTGAGCTGAGTCTTCTCCCCTTGAATATGTATATGAAAGGAAGACAGTATTTTAACAGTGCTCAGGACTAAACCGATAAACATTGTGTAGACAGAATAAAATCCATGCTTTTACCAGGAAGATGTGTGTACTTACAGGATTAATGTCCACAAACGTCTCATGATAGTCCTTATTTGGATGCATACCATGGATGGCAGAAACAAACTTCTCGTCTGCTTGGTAGAAGTGTGGGAAAGATATAATAATAGGCGCACCTGCATTTTAAGGAAAACAGAAATGAACGATGTGGTTCTTGAAAGTCCAAGATGAAATTAAAGTTCCTGCCCACAAACCTGGTTCCTACGGAGGGGGAAATTCTATACGTAAGTAAACTTGGGTGGGGGAGAGAGGCAGGCTAAAATTCCATGCGACACCTCCTAGTTTGGGATTTATACTTCGTTTTCTGACATCTCATTTACCCTAACATTATTTTATTCCACCATATATATTGAAGTCATGGCCAAATTATATATTCTTCAGTATCTACTGCACCTATGAAATATAAAGGTTTACACACGTTATTTTAATTAACATTCCCAGTAGTCCTATTAAGTTAAAACTATTAACTTCATTTTGATTTTGAGGAAAGTGAAGTTCAAAGGAGTTAAAAAAAAAAAAAGACCCAGGTACATCCAGCTGTAAGGTGATGAAGGCAGAATTCTAACTGAATGAGAGATACCTCATCTGAAAGCACTTGTTTCAACTGCAGATCTCGACCAGTAAAAGGACTTTTTTTTTTTGCCCGCTTTTCTGTTTTTCTATTTTTCTTGGTTTACATAAGACAGGCTTTCTTCTCCTGACTATGTTGATACAGAATTTTTTAAGACTTTGCCTGGTCATGCTATCTGCCCAGCATTTGACTAGATCAAGGTCTGCCCACATGATCTCTTTTTTTCTTTAATTTTCTTCCCTATTCATTTTAAGAACCAAACAGAGAATGTTCATTTTTTTTAAGGCAATCTACAGAATCAATGCAACCCCTATCAAAATACCAATAGCATTTTTCACAGCACTAGAACAAATAATCCTAAAATTTGTAAGAATCTACAAAAGACCCTGAATAGCCAAAGCAATCTTGAGAAAGAAGAACAAAGCTGGAGGCATCACAAGTCCAGATTTCAAGATATACTACAAAGCTTTATTAATCAAAACAGTATGGTACTGGCATAAAAACAGACACATAGATCAACAGAACAGAATAGAGAGCTCAGAAATAAACCCACATTTACATGGTCAATTAATCTATGACAAAAGAGGCAAGAACAAACAATGGGGGGAAAGGCAATCTCTTCAATAAATCATGTTGGGGAAACTAGCCAGCTACATGTAAAAAAAAAATGAAACTGGACCAGTTTCTTACACCATATACAAAAATAAACTCAAAACAGATTAAAGACCTAACTATAAGACCTGAAACCCCAAGACTCCTAGAAAAAAAAAAACAAAAACCATAATCTCTTGGACATTGCCCTTAACAACATATTTCTAGAAATGTCTCCTCAGGCAAGGGAAACAAAAGCAAAAATAAACTATTGGGACCCAAAACAAAATCCTTTTGCACAGAAAAGAAAACCATCAACACAAGAAAAAGGCAACCTACTGAATGGGAGGAGATATTTGCAAATAGTATATCTGATAAGGGATTACTATCCAAAATATATCAAGAACTTAAACAACTCAACACTGAAAAAACAAATAATCTGTTGAAAAAGTGGGCAGAGGACCTGAACAGACATTTCTCCAAAGAAGACATCCAGTTGGCTAACAGACACATGAAAAAATACTCAACATCATTCATCATCAGAGAAATGCAAACCAAAACAACAAGGAGATATCACTTCATGCCTGTTGTTATGACTAGTATCAAAAAGACCAATTATAATGACAAATGTTGATGAGAATGTGGAGAAAAAGTAACCTTTGTGTACTGTTGGTGGGAATGTAAATTGGTATCACCACAGTGGAAAATAGTGTAGAGTTTCTTCCAAAAATTAAAAATAGAAATACCATATGATCTGGTCATCCTATTACTGAGTATTTACCCAAAGAGAATGAAAATACTAATTTGAAAAGAAATACGCATCCCTATGTTCAGTGAAGCATTATTTACAATAGTGTCATTGACAGATGAATGGATAAAGAAGATGTGGTATCTATATACAACAGAATATTACTGAGGCATAAAAAAAAGAATGAGATCTTGCCATCTGTGACAACATGGATGGACCTAGAGGGTGTTAAAAAAAATGAAATAAGTCAGACAAAGCCAAACACCATATAATTTCACTTATTTGTGGTATCAAAATCAAAACAAATGAACAAACAAAACAGAAACAGACTTATAAATACAGAGAACAATGTGGTGGTTGCCAGAGGGTAGGTGACTGGGGGAGTTGGGTGAAGTAGATGGAGGGGATTAAGAGGTACAAACTTCCAGTTATAAAATAAATGAGTCACACAGACATGAATAGCACAGCATAGGGAATATAGCCAATAATTGTAATAATGTACGGTGACAGATGGTGACTACACTGATTGTGGTGAATGTATTAACATACAGAATTGTCAGATCACTATGCCGTGCACCTGAGACTAACAGAACACTGTGCGTCAAATATACTTTAATAAGATTGTTTTTTTAAAAAGGAATACATAGGGAAACAAGTTTTTAAAAGAAACCTATTCTAGATCGTGCTATTGAAGAGAGAGGGATCCAATAATTGCTACCAGGGAAACATACATTTGGAGAAATGAGCTTGTTGTTGCTTACATTATCTACCAGTCATGCTCAAGATACACATCATCTGTCACATCCATATATTTTGTTTAGGAAAAAACTGTTCACTAAACAGTTTCACAAAGCCATATTTTCCTTCTTTGTGATCTACGATGATCTTTAAAGTGTTATTTTTAAAGATTTATTGGGAACGTAATAAGGGCCAGACACTGTCTCGAGTGTTTTATATACATAATCTCTCACCTTCACACAACCTTCCAAGGAAGTTATCATCAACCCCCATATTACAGATGAGAAAACTGAAGTCTACCTCCTTAATCAACTTGGCTAATGTGTTGCCAAACAGAATATGAATCAAACCCAGATCTACCTGACTCCAGAACACTCGCTCATCCCACTATCCAAAATGTTCTCCGGGGAAATTCAAAACACTTGAGGATAATTCCAGAGAGTCGAACTTTTCAGTCCACACCTGGGAGTACATAACAGGCAGGAGGAAAAGGACTGTAGCAAGAGGCTGAGTTGCCAAATAGAATCTTCGTTGATTCTGACATCAACTTCTTGAGGAAGCAGAATGTTAACAAAACAATGAGAAAAAATATGTCCACATTGGTGCCCTGAGCCAGAGGCAGCTGGATTGAGTGGACCGTGCGCTATTTTAGGACCATTCATCTACTAAGAAAGCAGGAGAGGTCAGAAACAGGGACTTCTTCCCATTTGCCATTGGTCTTATCTCCAGGGAGGGGTGCCATGTCCCCTGGCACAGTGGTTCCCAAATAGTAGGTACCATCTTCATGAGAATCACCTGGAGCTCATGTTAAAAATCCATGTTCTGGGGCCCTGGTATGTGGGCCCTGGGACATAGATTTTTAATGACTCTCCAGATAATTCCCACGCAGGGCCAGGTTTAGGAGCCACTGCCCTGGGAGAGAAGGAATAGGGAGGTATACTGCTGACTTCAGATTACCCCAAAAGGAGATTTTTTTCTTTCAAGCAAATTAGATAAGAGGACAAAAGCTAGCACATTACTTTATTCTTTTTTTAAAGACAACTTTATTCAGGAAAGAGGGGTTACAAAATTTCTCAAAGGAAACTTTAAAGGGGAATTATAGCCTGAGAAGTATCACAGCAGACCCTAGCAATCTAGCAGGGATTTGCTCAGAGATAAGAATTTTATAAAAATCATTTTCCCTCTCTCAGCCCTGCTTTCCACAATTATAAAAAGAGGCCTCTGGATGCCTATCTAGTAAGAGCACTCTGAATAATTATGCAACATAGGATTGTTAAAGTTAGTTCTCAGGATGAAGAAAATGCTTTTGTCAGTTGTATCACCAATAACTCTGCCTCATTTTTTTTTAAAGATTTTATTTATTTATTTGCAAGAGAGCACAGCAAAGGGAGCGGCTTTTTTTTTGAGAGGGAGAAGTGGCTCCCTGCTGAGCAGCGAGCCCGATGTGGGGCTCCATCCCAGGACCCTGGGATCATGACCTGAGCCAAAGGCAGACACTTAACCAACGGAGCCACCCAGGCATCCCAATAATTCTGCCTCATTCATGGAAAGGAGCAGGGTAGCTCAGACATTTAGAGACACTGGGAAATTTGCAGTCAGGGTATAAAACTAACTCTGTTTTGAAATCATCATAAATTTTTTCTTAAGATTTCATTTATTCATTTGAGAGAGAGAACGAGCAAGAGAGTGAGCACGAGTGGGGGAAGGAGCAGAGGCAGAGGGAGAAGCAGGCTTCCCGCTGAGCTGGGAGCCCGACATGGGGCTCCATCCCAGGACCCTAGTATCATGACCTGAGCCAAAGGCAGAGGCTTAACTGACTGAGCCACCCAGGCACCGCTGAAATCATCGTAAATTTTTTTGTTTTTAAAGATTTTATTTATTTATTTGACAGAGAGATACAGCAAGAGAGTTTTTTTAAGCAGGGGGAGTGGGAGAGGGAGAAGAAGGCTTCCCGCTGAGCCGGATGCGGGGCTCGATCCCAGGACCCTGGGATCATGACCTGAGCCGAAGGCAGGCGCTTAACAACTGAGCCACCCAGGCGCCCCTCATCATAAATTTTTAACAAGATATGTACTTTCTCATTACCAAGTTCTCCACTTTCTCTTTCAGCATTTTATGAACATGAAATCAGTTAATGATTTACACGTATTAACTAAATGTATATATGTAAACCACTTAGAATAATGACTACCTGAACAATGACTACTATAATTGCTTGGTAAACACGAACTATTTTTACTATTAAGACTTCTAAACTACCACCCAGAAAGAACACAACATGACATTCTAGGAATAAGAAGCATTACATAAGAGAAAGAAGAAAGGAACAGAGGAACTACAAAACTGCCAGAAGACAATGAACAAAATGGCAACTAAGTCTACACTTACCAATAATTATTTATTTATTTATATTTTAAAGATTTATTTATTCGAGAGAGAGACAGAGTGTGTGTGTTGGGGCGGGGAGC